GAAGGAATGAAAGAAGAAAACAATACCCCCCCCCGAAGAACCCACCACCTCCTTGGCGCTTCCATCGAGGCGGTCATCCTTCATTTCTTCTTTTCTTGCTTTCTGGAAGCAGTTAGGGAATGTATGATGAAGCAGAAATGAGCCGTCAGGATGATATTTTAATGGCTTATATGTCACGTTGGTGCATGTGGCTTTGAACTGGAGCAGCTTTCGTTTCCTGCAGAGAGCGCGCCGCAAATCCCACTTGATAACTTCTACAACCCACAACATTTTTTTTTTACATTCACTCTTACACTGTATATTTAGATACGCTTCCTAAAAATACCCTCTTCTGCCTTCTCATATATTTTGTACGGACCTGAACTGATCACCGGCTTCCCCCCTGCATTTGGAGACTGGCTAGCAGTGAACTATCTAACTTTCTGGATCTCTTAGTGCCATCGCCCTCAAGATTTCACAGTAATGCTAACAACTTTGTCCTTTGCAGCGAGTAATTTTAGAAGCAAATACAGAGAGTAATGTAACATTCGCCTGAAGAACACATCCACAAACACACGGGCGCACGTAGAGCGCTTATACCTGTTGCTATAAGTTATTGCAATCGCAATTTCTTCGAATGGATTTTACAGAATAAATGCAAACATGTAGATTCAGTCCATCATTGTCCTAAAAATGTGAAACCTCCCAAAATCCAAGGGAAATGCCATAAAAAAACTGCTTTGAAAATCATCGCCATGCATTGAGCACATGCAAACTGTATCTGCAGATAAACTGCCGCGAAACATTCCTTCAAGGCATATCAAAGTCTATTTGTTGTTCGGCTGTTTTCTAGACGCAGTGGCTACTTTCTGCCTCTTCAAATGTGCAGCTGTAAACCGAGTAGTGTTCGCGCAATATCCCTGCTCGTCTGATCCCCCAGTACCTGCGATGTGGATTGTTTCCTAGCGCCCTTAAATAGAAAGGATGAGTAAAAAGTTTCTTTGTTTAGCACTAAGAATTTGAGGGGCTCAGATTTAGTTGCGAATAAGCCGAGTGAAGAACTGAACAAAGGCGAAATTGAAGGATTCCGAGTCTTAGCTCCCTTTTTGTGTTTTCGTTACTAGAAAATAATTAGACCTAATGAATATGCAGGTGACTGAGTAAATAAATAATTTACCAGTTCTGTATATGTACACACACACACACACACGCGCACATACGTTAGTGTATTTATACACACGTATACATATACTATATATATATTTAAAACTTTAATGAAATCTCTTTTTTTGGTGCCGAAGCATCTTTTAAAATACTGTAAAAATGCTGCTTAGCCTAATTGATTAAGACACAAAGGTTTTCTGCTTTTAAATACCATACTTATACCTTTCAACAATCATTTTAATATATAGTCAATGGCTCTTTGTAGCGAGAACAAAAAGGAACTATCCGCAGTTTTTCAATAGACTTTGAGCTGGGGAAAGACAGGTTAATCGAGGGTTGCATCTAGAAAACAACCAAGTGTTGTATGTTTGCACTGAATCCAAATGTCTGCATTTTTCTAACTAAATCAAAGGGAGTGTTATTTCTTTTTCTGCTCACTCATCTGAAGGTAAGTAAATTTTCTCTGGCGATCAAAAGCCTGGTCAGCAACAAAGACACCGCCTGCTTTTTCCACCGTCCTGGTGTGGCAAGTTGAGGAATTTCAATAACTGTGACAAGGGTGACTGATTTGTGAACTAGAAAAGGTTTGAATGTCAGAAAATTTACATTGCTCCTATCTATCGAGGATTTTAAATAAATTTTTTAACAACAAAAAAAAAAAAACCCAAAACTATCCGGGAGCTTCATGCCGCAGAAGGGAAACAATGTAGGTTTGGGAAATTTACAGTTTTACCTGAATGAACGAGACTGTGAAAAGAAAGAGATAGAAAGAAAGAAAGAGAAAGAAAGAGAGAGAAAAAGAAAAAGAAAATAACAAAAAAGAGGCGAAACAACAACAACAAATAGAAAGTTAAGAGTTCTCACCCACCTGCGTTTTGAGGGGTGCAGAAAACAAGATTTATTTCAGAAAACTGATGGAGGGCTAGACTCAGCTACCCAGAGAAATCACGCTAGTTGTTTAAAAATAAAATCAAATGCACTCAGCACCTACTCTTGGAGAGCTTCGGTTTTAAACAAGTGGGAAACAATAACTTCAAAAGAAGCAAGTCACTACAGGGCTTCTCTTTCCACAGCCTAAAAAGTTGTCTAGTGATCTTAAAAATTCTGGATCACCAAGAAATCATCATTATCATCGTTAGTATTACAGTGCTGGAGAGAGGGAGAGACAGAGAGAGGGAGAAAGAAAAAAACCGTAGTAGCAATCGAAGATCTGTGGGCTTTTTTTTTTTCCTTAGCATACATACACACAAAAAGATGCGTTGGAAATATTTTCGTGCAAAAAAAAAAAAAGAAGAAGAAGAAGGGGAGGGGGCTTTATTTTAAAAAAAAAAAAGTTGCTACTCCTGGAAACGCTGTTTGTCAGGAGGGATGTCAGAGCGCTCACAATACCTGGGATTGATGAGGCGGACGGGCCAATCAGCGCCCGCAGGCGGCTTTGCGCGCCCTCCGTTGGCGGGGCCGGGGGGAGTTGCGCGGGGGAGGGGGAGCCGCGGCCGGGCAACAAGCGCCCACGTCCGCCCGCACCTCGCTC